CGGCGTTAAGAAACACGGTTACAGCATCCATTTGGTGGATGAACAAATTATGTTTGGCCGATAACGCGAGCAATAAGCGCAAAGAGGTATATCGGACTACAGGGCCAACGTTTCTTCGTAGTTTACGCCTTTTTTTTGACAAAACCCTTTGACCACTAATCTGGCTTTTCGAGGGATGAGTTTGCCATTAGCGTCAACTTTCGTTTTAAACACCCACTTAGACTTTATTGCCTTTTGACCCGGAGGCAACTTTGTTAAACACCACGTTTTATTTTCGCGAAGAGAGTTTATTTCATCGTCAACGGCATTTCTCCATTCGTCTGCATATGCACTGCTGATTGATTCTTCAAGAGTTTGAGGGTCGTCAGACACAAAGTCTGTTGCGTAAAAATTGTCACCCTCCCTTTTACCAGCAATTCTCTTTGAGCGCCTCAAAACGTTCTGGCCTACATCTTCAAGTTCTTCGAAATCACTTGTTGCAATCACTTTCGACCTGCCGCTCAGGAGTAAAATGCTCTTCCTTAACGTTCGATAATTCATTACATTGCTTCTCATCTGAATTGAGAACGTTATTTATTTCGCGCACCATCGGCATTTTAAAACAGTCTCTTAGTTCCGGATAAGCATTTTGCGTTTCGACAAAAACAACATGACGGCTTATTACAACTTTTCGCGTTTTAGGATTAAACAAGCGATATGCTTTCGAAGCCGTGCAGTATCCAAGCATAATGCATTCAACCGATTTCACGTCTAATTTTCTACGTTTTTCGCGCGGCACGTGAACCATGGCTTTACTACCGAACACCCTAAGATGCTTTAAATTTGGTATTTTGTTTGTCCACATTTCTTCTGGACTTTGCGCGTTTGAACCGAATGGCACATGATTTAGCAAGTACGCCGCGGTGTTTGCGGCTTCAGCCTAAAACTGGCTTTTTACGCCCGAATCTATTAACATACAACGCACTTTTTCAACAATCGTACGATTAAGTCTTTCTGCCACCCCATTCTGTTCAGGAGTGTAGGGGGACGTAGTTTGATGCACTATACTACCAGGAATGATAGAATACAAGATTGCGCCGTCCTGGGCGTTGACATTTGTGTACCTTAAGTAAACAAACAATAGAGCGAAAAGAAGAACGAGTTAAGACTTCCAAAACAGTTAACTTTACAGCGAAAAACGTGTTTTAATTTTGCTAAACGAAAATATTGCATTTTTCACCTAATCTATTAGAGAATAGGCAACATTTTAGTGCACTCCATTGCTTTGCAATTGAGGCTGCTTCAGCAAAAGTTTTAGTGCACTCCATTGCTTTGCAATTAAGACTGCGGCAGCATCTCCGTGGGATTGATTAGTTAATTTGCTAATGGAGGCTGCTTGGAGCAGAAGCAAAATCATTGTGAGGAAATGCTGTTAATGTAATAATAAAGAAACATTTCGGGAACGGCTTTGCCGTGCCCTATGTACACAAAATGCAGCGATTCGTCCCAGCGCTACACTTGCATCTACGCATCTTGCATCTTGACGGCTGTCGCAATTTAACACACAGCACTTCATTTTATTAGTTTTTACGCAGTCTTCAACTCAAAAATCACTCACAAATTGCAAATTAACACAATTTAAACTGATTTTTCACATATAATTAAATTTCTCTTTCGCTGATTTGTAAACAAAGGTTTGTTTACAAGTTACCACAACTGTCAAAATCGGCAAAACCAAAGTAGCGGTACCACTGACGGCGCCACCTCTGTTCGCTGCACCGTGCTATACCACTGCTTGACAAAAGGTTTTGAAACTTTGTATTGGTATATTCAGTCCCATTGTCCGAACGAAAAACTTTTATCTTGCGCCCGCACTGATTTTCTGCTAACCTTTTAAATTTCACAAATTCTTCAAATACTTCGTTTTTGTTTTTAATCGGAACCAAAAATATCTTGTGTGAAAAAATATCATTGAATGTAACCACGAAGCGCGCTCCAGAAAAGGATTTTTACGGGGAATGGCCCCATCACATCTGAATGTACTAAGTCAAGTAGTCCCTTTGCGCGCGTACCAGTTTCTTTAAAGGAAGCCCGTGTTTGCTTTCCTTTGACACAAACAATGCACTTGTCGTTCTTAATTTTATTATATTCAACGCCACTAGACGCATTTTTCACCTTTCTTTAAATGTTCGTCACAAATGTGTCCCATTCTTCGATGCCATAATTCATATTCATCACGCACTACTAACGCCTTAGCTTTGCTATCAAATGGAATTTTGCAATTTAGTCGGTATCACTCATTTACAACACTTGCGCCTCCAATGAGGTTTTTCTGTGCATTATAAATTTTGCAATTCTCGTTTTCAAACACAACTATATTGCCTTTTTTTGTCACCTGTCGCACCGAAAGCAAATTTGCACAAAGTTCCGGCACGTATTCAACATCTTTTAATATTACATTTACATTGAGCCCAAATGCGTCATTTGGGCGAGAAACCTCAAATGCGAGGCCAAATCACGCATTTCTCCATACAAATTCACATTTCCAGAATGACGCATTTCGACGCATTTACACAAAATCACGAAACAAATGCGTTCCAATTGCCGTACTATTTTATTGAACGCACTCAGAAACAAAAGTTCCACAAAAGCTTTGGTTTGTCTTTGACATTTGGAATTTTTCAAACACAAAACAAACACAACGAAATAAATAAATCTTTGAAATTTGTGTGTAAAAATTCTTAATTTATACAAGAGCTTTACACATTTTTAGTTTAATCAAAGAATAATTGCCTTTTTGTGTCCAAAAAGCGTTAACAATATAATAAATGTAGTGTTTGTTTACATACATTTTGTTTTTGTCTTCCCTTTTCATTTGATGAGAAGTCAAAGCAAATGCGGATCAAGCAGTGTAAACACCTTCAAATGACTGATTTCAAATCACGCATTTTGGTCCAATGTAAATGTAATATAACACAGCATCAACTTTCGATCTTCCGGCCGATAACGTAATATTTACGTCACCTTTTGATTTTATAGGAAATGTTTTATTGTTCGCGATTAAAATATGTTTGTTTTGTACCGGCACTTCTTTTACAATTAAATTTTTGTTCATAGTCATCATGATTCAATAATACAAGGTTGGATAAATATTGACATTTGTGTCAATCGACTGCCTTGTAAGGTTGCATTTGAGAAGGAAGAGAAGCGGGTAACAATTTTATCTCCTTTTGTGAAAAGGTAGTAGGAAAAGTAAGTAGTCTGGTAGTGCTGAAATGCGTTTTTGTATACAAATTAAGGTAATTCTCTGGGGTGGGGTAACAACCCCTAAAAAAGGTGCGGAAAAGTCGGGAGGGGTACCAAACGACGCGTTTCGGCCCCCCTAATAACAATCCGGAGGGGGGGAGATAATATGATTAACCATTTAAAAGTTATGAACAAAAAACTTTTGTTAAATTTCGTTGTTTTCTATGAGCAATTACCACGTCAAAAATGCACTAAATCACCAGTTTCCACTTTTAAAACACTACTAAAACGTTTCCGGTTATTATTTTATGCAAACCAAATCATTTATTCACTTTTATTTTATATATTTCGTTAATAAAACAGAGTAAACAAACTTTGCGCCTGCTAAAATTATTATAACCTCAAATCGCTGGTATTGCCACTTTATTTCACATTTCATTTGCGCTATTATACTCAGTTTACACTATACACTTCTTCTTCTTCTTTTTACTTTCATCTAAATAAGATATTGTAACCAAAATATAATAGCAAATTTCGCTATACCATCGCGCGATTTTTTATTAAAAATTTTCATTATTTATATATATATTAAACGAAAGAAGATACCGAAAAGCATTGAACAGTGCACACATCTCATAAGGAAAAGTGAATTATTACAAAATATTAATACAGTGGCAGCACTATAGCTATTTTGGAATCTCGCGTTTCAGCTGGTAAAGATTGTCAACTTCTCTTTAATAACAAAATAATCTATCTTAGGTTGATAAAACTATGTGTTTCTTTAATAAATAAGTTAAATTATATATTTTATATTTTAATAGTGTTTAAAAAATGAGAACAGGTGATTTTGTGAATCTTTGTTGGTGTAATTGCTCATAG